CCCCCCCCCCCCCCTCGAGTCACAAAAAATACTGCGAAATATCCGCCAGAAACGCCGACACCAGCGAGGCAAAAGACCGCAGGAAAAGGTAAGAGTTTTCGAGGGAGCTCAAATGGGATCAAGTTGGTGGAGGTAGCGGGGATAATATAACGGGCAGCATCACTGAAGAAGAACGAGCTCCCGTTCCAGGACCATAAATACAGTATGAGCGCATTAAGGCGGTGTTATCGTTCGCTTCTCGAGCTGTTTGTTGCTGATATATTCACCCTGTGGTTAGTTTAGTAGAGGGATACTTCTGTGATAAAGGGCTTTGCGGTGATGCCGTGTTTTTGCTGGGCAGCCTCTCCTCGCTTTGCAGATGGTGGTGTGTTTTTTTTTTTTTTTTTTAATAACTCGTCGATTTCCGTTGCCACACTGTGACCAGCTGCTGTGTTTTTTTGTTCTCTATTTTCTCTGTCCGAGCTGCGGGGCATTTAATGTCACCGTTCTTATATCGTTGCTATATTTTGTGAATTGAGGGGCGTATTGCGTTGGTTAAACCGCCCCCACTCAGTTTACACATTTACGGGATTACCCAGAACACATCAGTACATCTGTTTATACACTCAGCATTGTCTAAAACAGGTCGGTGATAGTTAAATATGAAACTGGATTCTCTAAAGGAAGCAGGGATTTGAACCAATTTAGTTCATAAGGATGCTTAATTGTCACGGGCTGGGCAGTTAACGAATTTACATTGAACATTTATGAGTTATTGTGAATAGTTTGTTAATAGACAAAGACTATTATTAGCTCATATGTTGTTTTGTCAATCTGGCAGATGAGCTTTAACTTTACCCTGTTTTATTCTTCCTGTACGTGAATCCTTTAAAATACTATAACGCTCACTGAACCTGTCTTTAATGACTCTCACGCAGATTACCCGGTGTTGTTCTATTGATAAGGGGCAGTTGTGTGAGTCCTGTCATCGTGCGCTGGGGGGCAAAGTGTCAGGTCTTGATCTGTGCTGTAAGAAAAAAAGCAGTCAATGTATCGGGATTAATGGAGTTTTTCTCTAAGATAAAAGCATGAACATGTAGATCACTTAACAAGGATTCAGAATGAGCTTAATTGAATTGCTGTGGTGGCTTTTGCAGTCATTAGGCTGTGTACGATCCCTTTGACATGCCAACACATAATGTAACAAATATTCAAAACAAATGTATAATAATCTTCTTTAATATTGAAATATGATATGTTATAGTCACACAGAAGAAGAGTGAGCGTTCATCACAGGACATCCCCACAGGGAGAGTAAAGTGTTTTGATTTATTACACAGAGGATCTCAGTGCTCGTGAACAGCTCTGACCCATCTGCAAAAACGTGGAGTAATGTATTGCGACACGAAATATTAATGCTAGAGCTGAAACAATTAGTGGAATCCATTAGTTGATTTACAGAAAATGATTTGGCAGCTTTTTCCATAATCAATTAACCATTTGAGTCATTTTTCAAAGCAAGAATGCCAAATGTGTGATGTTTCCTCTCGAATGTGAGCATTTGTAAACTGAATATTTTTGATTTTGGACCGTTGGTTGGACAAAACAAGCCTTCTGAAGATGTCCCTCAGGATTTGGAAAAATCTGGAGGACATTTTTCATTATTTTCTGATAAACTTGAACGCTTAATTAAATGGGAATGAATCAATAACGAAGATAATCATTAGTTTCAGCCCTGACTGACAACAAAAAACTCACAATCCAACACGCTGCTGCAAATTTCATTACGGTATACTGCTTTGTGTCATCTTTCACAAAAGCCTACAGCAGCCCATCCTCAGCATCGCGATTGACAGTCTGGCCCATGAACACCCAGTGAATCAGTAATCAGCGCTCCCTGTGTGACATGCGGCTCGGTTAAAAAGGAAAAGTCAGCAGGACCCGTGTGAGTGACGGGACAGCAACAGCGCTGACCAAACACACGGCTGAGTGGGACTCGAGCACCACTGTGGTGCCGGTCTGTGGCCAAAGTAGAATACCAGTGTGTCTTGGAAAGTGGGTCTTCCTGCTGTCTGGAGGGATCGGCCCAGGTGAGGTAACAGGCTGATCGAGGGATTAGCCGCTCATAGAAGGCGTGAGGAGAATGTCAGTCACCCTCGCTCTATCTTCCCCCACCGTCTGTCTCTCGGTTTCTCTCCCCACAAAGCATCTGTCTCCTGCCTGCTCCTCGTTCACATTGTTCCTGGACGAGCAGCGATACCACCACTACTCTGCAGCATCTCAGTGGTGTACCCCCTCCCCATATGCAGCCTCTGTCAGTGCAGGCCTCCCTGCGCTCTCCTCTTTTCTCCTTCCGCTGGCTCCTCCTCATGTCCTACTTCCTTCCTTTTCAGCTCTCCTGAAGGGCGAAGCCGCTGTTGATGAAGGGGGGGGGGGGGGGGGGGGGGG